GGAACAGTTGCAAGTGAGGCACTGTACTTCACTTCTTTTAGATGAGTGAAGAAATTAGCAGGACCTTCCTGGGGTCTGTTCTTGAGCTGCAGATAACTGTGTGTACACTAGTACTTCCCTATGAACGTTCTTCAGGCTTTAAGCTCTTTGAAGTAGATGGCCTTATTGGAATTGCTTACAGAACTGTCAGTAGAAAGGATGATAAAAGGAAGAAGAGAAGATGATACATTAAATTATACAGGCAGAGATGCAGAATAGAGGACGGAGAAGGCAGTGCTTGGAGGTGGTGTGTGCTCGTCAGCGCTGCTCTGGGCTGCTGCCATGCAGCACTGGCTGTGTCACAACAGGAAGGAAATAATCTGTGGCATGCTGTGCTGGTCAGCAGTTAGAACAAAACCCAGTCCCAAGACATCAAGTTAAAGGAATTTTTAAAATAAATTCTTTTTTTTTTCTCTTCTTTTAATCCTCTGTTAGAGAATAAACTGGAAATTTATATTTTTGAAGGAGGGGGTGAAGCAGGTGGAAGCAGATGGTTTGTGGTGATTACCAATAGAAATGTGAGAGAAGAAATGTGAGAGCCAGAAATAAATAAGAAGCTTGAACTACATATTTCTACACTGAAATAAATGAGCTGAATGAGGCTGCAATTCAGCAAGAGCTTTTCAAAAGCATCTCCAAATCCTGCTGTATTCAGCAACAGTGTAGTTTTTCAAAAATGCCAACCTGCAAATGAACAGCACTTAGTAGTCTGCTAAATTATGAGTGCTCTTGAAAATCTTACATCATAATAAGGAAATTCAGAAACACATTTCATGGGAGGATGGTCTTTAAGGGTTTATGTCCATTTCTGAATCAAGACTAAGTGTTACTTCCATGACAAATTGATTTTTGCAAAGCTTAGGGACAGAATTTAAAAATTTAAGAACAATTAAATGTTCTCTTGAATTAGAGCCCAGCTTAGCAGGAGAAAACAGCAGAAGCAGATAGGATGAATTCATCGAGAACATCTAGAAATTGTTCTGGGAGCAACATGAGTGGAAATTGGGAAGACGAGCTTAACCTCAAAAGGATTGATTTAAAATCTAGAAGAAGTTTGCTAATTCAGGTTTTTTCTTTGCCTTTTCTTATGCATCATGGTTGACTGTTTAAAACAAAGACAAATATATGTATATAAGAAATATACAGGTCCTGAGGACAGTGAGCATTGTGCGTTTGTCCTTGGAAAATAAGTTTCTTGAGGCAGGAATAACTAACAGAGTAACGGAGTAGTAGTGCTCTCTATTTAAAACTTTCTTACTTATTAATCACTCAAATCAGTACAAGGTATCTTCTCTCAAAGTTTCACAGTTCATGAAAATGTGAAGTTAGTCATGCAAAATAATTCTGTCACCACTCTGTAACAAATCTTTAAGGTTTATTGAACACATTTGAAAGTATTCCAGGAGAACAGCTGCATAAGATTAATCATTCTCAGGGTAAAAGCTGAATTTTTCAGACGTTTGCATGCACTTCATAGTCTCTCAGAAAAATAGCCTGTTCCTATTTAAATGCTGAAATGAATCAGCAGTTATTTTTAACAAATTTGTTGTCTTGACTAAGCAATCAACTAACAGAAACCTTTGGCAATCTTTGAGCTGCAACGGAACCTTTTTGGATATGGGCTTTCATTGAATTCCAGCCCCAGAGCAGCGCCTGCTGATGGATGTCCAGTACCCATGGTGCAGTTAGGTTGGGGTCAGGTCCTGCTCTTCATTTGGCAGTTGGTGTCTCAAAGCCTCCACAGCTGGCTGCTTTCATGGTGTTTCCTGGTCACCTCACCTGGGGTGGGTGAGGTCATCACAACTTACCTTACATTGATGGCATGAATTTAACAGATGTCTGCAATCTCCTAGGTTACTGAGTATATCCAGGTTCATACACACGCCAAAAATAACAGAAGCTGTAATTTATTTGTATCTCATCTGGTTTTGTTTGCTTAAGCAAAGGGAAGCAAATAAATGACTTATGATACAAATAAATTGTCTGTTTGGAGAAATGTCATGGTCCAAATCACCTGCTAGTTTACCACATCCAGCCCAGGATGAGAGTTTTGTTATCTTTTTCCATAGTGATAGTTGTATCAGCCTTAGTTGATAGGAATGCTGAAGTCTATGAGGCAAAAACTTTGGTGAAACAGCAGCCTTTGTTTTGTCGAAGCATTTTTCTGCAAGTTAGCGATTCCTCCTGATGTTTTAACATCAGCTAGAATTTCCATTTTAAATCTAGAAAATCAACTACCTTTTTTTCCTTATAAGAATGCACCTTCTGATTCTGATCTTGCATGTACCACTATTTTTGTGGGAACAACTCCATGAAAAAACAGATCAGAATGAGATCTTGGAGTGTTTTGGATAATGGGTCTGGACTGTTTTTTGTGGAAACTTTTTCAGAAGATTTCTGAAGAAGCACAGAGGTCACCAGATGGCAGGCTGCTCTACTGAATTTTGCAGCAATAAGAGTGAACAGTAAGTGACCCAACAAGGACAAGACATGCCCATCAGCTGCTGGTGATATGGTCTGTTATTTTGTACTGTAATTAACTTCAAGGATATTCAAAATACAAATGTCATTTTTTTGCAATACAGAATTCTGGTCTATATCCTTAATTCTTAATTATTGAATGTGATGTACTTTTCCAGCTTACTTTGAAGTTCAGGCAAAAGAAGAATGCATGAATAAGAAAACAATGTGTGAGCATTGCTCAAGTGAGCTTACTGGACTTTTCTAACCAGAATCCCAGAACAGCAAGAGATCACATTCAAATAATTGAATGTCCTGCATGCCATCCCAGTGATTATAGGATTCAAAAACTGCAATATACCTCGTGCCTTTCAGCATCTGCATTTTCAGATTATTTCTCTGGATAAGAGTGATCCACCTGTCAAATAATGGGTCTGTAGAACAAAAAGATAAGCATTATACAGATGTATGAAACTCTTGTCAGATTTCTGAAAGAGCAAAGTTTCATCTCATTTCTGGAAGAGCAAAGTTTAAAAGGAATTCATTAAAAATAAGTCAACAACACAAAGCAGGCAGCACTAATTTTTTAGGACAAAAATAACATAATCATGGCAGGGGATAAGCAGGAGATAAATAGAAAGCAGGAGACAACTGAATAGTTTTAGGAATATATAACTGAGCTAAAACAAGGTTGCATGAAACCACACACGAACACATAAATTATTAAAATCTCTTGTTGCAATTACTCAGATGCTCAGTAGAGTGAATTAAAACTTGCTGCAAAGAACTAAACAAGGATCTTTTAACCCTGCTACTGCTGTTTATAAGCTTGCTTGCTGCTCATGGTTCATATGTCTGGAAAAGGGATAATGTTTTATCTGCTACATGAAATTTGCTTCTGAAGGAAGTGTATTAAATCAATGAGAACAAAGCATACCGTTCTAATATGCACTCAATGAAAAGTGATGTTCTGCTGTCCAACATCAAGCCCTTGGTAGCCAGAGTTTTGAGTAGTGTTTCCATCACTATACCTTTGCAGCTCACCACCAGAATGGTACCAGTAGGGACTAAGGATATTTCAACCAGCTCAATTTATATGAAGGAGAGACAAATGCTAATTTTCATTCTGATGTAGTAATTTTTCTTTGCTAGAACTTAATTTTTAATGGTAGCTACAAGTATATGTTAAGTGGTTGGGGATATTGAGGCTGGGCGCAGGGCCATATCCACTGGGCCAGTGCCACAGTGAAAATCTCTTGATAGGAAGCTGTTTACATGCTGTACTTGTAGCAAAACTGTGTGCACATCTTTGTGTATAATAGGCGTTTCATGAAGAACTGAGTACGCTGATGTTCTTTTAAAACACTGTTTCATAGGTGGAATGTATATGTGTATCTAGTGGAACCTTTATTCATTTCTTTGTATTTCATTCAATTTCTTTACAAACCAACCCTGATTTTGTTTCGTTTGGTTGTAGAAGCCTTTTGTCTTTTTGATTTTGGAGTGCTGCATATTTGTAAAGAGCAAAACAGAAAATCAAAACATCTTCACCAATATGACTGATCAACAGCCATGCTATTGTTCTCTAAAATACTGTCATCTATTCCTTTGAGTCCTTTAAACTCCTCTTTAATCAAAGGAAATAGAAGGACAGACCAAATGATGATTTATCTCACATGCCCTGGATACCTGTCTCAACATGTGAGTGCTAGATTACTTGGTTTTCTGGTTAATGCAAATGTTAAAATGTTGTTACACAATGAAGTAGGTATGCGTGTTTATGTATATAAAAGAACAGAATCTATTCCATTTCACCATAGTATTCAAGTGATAGAATAGAGAGTTTCTGAATAAGTGAGTTAAATGGCCTTTGGCAGAAGGGTTGGAACTTGATGATCCTTGGGGTCCCTTCCAACACAAGCCATTCAATGATTCTATAAATGTCTGCTGGAGAAGAATGAGTTGCCAGTGCTTTTGTAACACGTTTTAATTTTTCTGTTCTCAAAAATACCTCTGTAATTATGTGAGTAACAAGATAAAAATGTGTTGCAGGATAGTTCCTGTGAGTTTTTAGGTTCGGATCCCATGTTTAGATGTATGCTCTTCACTTACCCTTGAATTATGTATCTAAATGTTTGAATGCAGTCTAAGATTGAGCCTTTACAATGTTAAGGATTCCTGCTCTGTCATTCAAGTTAATAGGAATTTCTTGTCGTCTTGTGTGACACCTGGACATAAGTATTTTAGAACAAAAATGCTTAGAAATAAATATATGTATTTTGCTTTTTGCTGTAAAGTCTTTGGTATGACAAAGCACATATGTAATATAGATAGCACCAGCTGTATTTTCTTTATATAGGTTGTTGCATGTAGATTTTTTTTGTGAACAAAATTTGGTGCAATGAGTTGAGATAGAAATCTTATGTGATCCCATGGTTTTTGTCTTGTTTTTTGTTGTACCTTGGGCTATTATTGGAATCTTTGCTTTATGGCAGGTTTTATTTTCAGAGATATGAGTGACTGCTGGAAGACAAAGCTGGTTTCACAACATCCAGCTTCTGTTTCTCATTTCACCAAAGGCCTTTAACGTGATCTTGGATGGAATACGACATTTCAGATGTCCAAAGGTACTTCTGATCATCATATTTCTACTTCATCAGTCATGTTTCTACTTCACTTCCTCATCTTTCTCATTTATTGCAAAGAAGGGTTCCGAAGTTGTACAGAATAAATGAATTAAAGGTTTTGCAGTACTCAGAAATTACTGTAAGGGGAATTACAAGAGAGCCAAATTATGATTCCTTTCTGGACTGCCCTTGACACAGCCAACAATTCCCCTCACCAGGCCATTGTGTGTAGCCAATGAGTCCCCTGTAATGCAGAGCAGTTTGCTTCATTATTTAAAAATTTAGAGACAATCTTCAGCTGTGGCAGCGTCTCAAGCTCTACAAGCTGTTGTCAACATTAGCAAAATGCCACATTCTTTGCATCCAGAAAAGACACCCCAAAACCCAACTTTGCCTATTAATCTGCCCGGCTCCAATGGATTTAGTGAGAGAGTCTCCCAGTCGCTGCTTTTCAACGTGATGATACAAGCACTGCAGGAGTGGCAATCCAAGAAAATGATGTCCTTTGCCAAAGCTGTCAGGAGGAGGCTGGGTGTTTGTTACTGAGTGAGAGGTGACATGCTTGTTTTCATACCACATTCCTGACTAAATTCTGTGAATGAATTTGAATGATGCCCCAAATATTACCTCAAGCAAGCACTGTATTCTGTCTCAAAGAATGTTGTAAATCAAACCAAGTGTAAAAATTCAAGAGCCCTTGAGAACACTGTACAAGTAATACACTCATAGCAGGATAGAGTAGCAGTACAGCAGGCACTTTTCAAGATAATAAATATCTTCTGATACCAGTAATGAAGTGAATACTGAGGTGAATTGGGCAAAATTTTTGCTGTTGAACGTTTCAGTTAACGTGGGAAACAGTTATCAGCACCATCCTTTGTAAAAATGTGCAGGGAAACACGCAACACAAGATGAAGAACTGTTTCCTACAGACCTTTTAATTGTCCTATGGACAAGGAACAGAGTATTACAATAAAAAAAAGGGGGAAATCAACAAGAGCTGGAGAAGATAGAAAATACTGATAAACTCTTTAATTTCTGTTTCTTTATCCCTTCCAATTGCTTATCATTACTGTTTCCATCTAATGTGGTTGCAATTATCCGAGGGTATCTGAGAGTCAAGCTTATGACGTTTTGATAAATTGTTAATTTCCATAGTAATGTGCTTCATTTTTCTTCCTCTGTTACAGAGTTAGCTCTGACAGTCTCTGGAGGAATTTGAGAAGTGTGAAGGTTGGAAATGAATCAGTTATGCATCAGCTACATTTCATACTCTTGTCCTGAGAGTAAAGCAGTTATGGGCTGGGCTCCTTGTTCCAGAATGACAGGTAATACATGTAGCTAAATCACATCAGTGTAGTAAGCTTGCATGAGAATAAAAAGTCAAGCATCTTGCCTGAAATCTTTGATGTATTTGCTGGTTTTAACAAAAATAAGAGGTTAGTTAAAAAGTTATTTCTGTCCCTTTGCTGCATTATATTTTTTCATATTCATAAAAACAGGCAAGCAAAGACTATGAACGCTGCTGTTTGACAGTGTTAGGAAGTCAAGCTCTAGCAGCAGTATTGTCTCTTTCCTTATGTCAATCTTTGTTGCTGTCAAAATAACAACCTGCTCATTTAAATCATTCTGGATCATACTGATGTTCTGTAGACTCAAGCTGTTGTGAAACAAAGTGAAGAGTTCTTGTTTGTAATGGGCTAAACTTTCTCTGCTGAGTTCATCTGTCAACTGCCACTTACACTCACAGCTGTTGTTTGAGGAGACTGAATTGCTTGCTGTCCGATTTGTTTTTACCCTTTTGTGACACAAATGAGTTCACGGCTCAGGAGTTACCTGTGATTTTCCAAGTGGCGAGTGCAACACTTCAGTTTGCAATATAAGGTCTAGCGGGCAAGAAGCTTGGTGAAAATGAGCACAATAGCAGCTGCTATTCAGTAGTATCATTTAGTTTCAAAGGAATACACAGATTTTGTGTACACCATTTCTTTCTAGTGATGTGTTCCAAATATACAGTGGAGACATCCTGGGAATGCTTATGAAGAGCTCAGTGCAAACCTCATCCCACCACACATACCCACCGTTGCAAAGGGAAAAGGTATTGTAGTATTTCTTCACCATTACAAAAAGAAGGGAGAATAAATATTCTGATGCCATTGTACAAGCCAGCCTCATAAGCTTTATTCTGTGTGATCCCATTTGTGGTGTAAAGTAAATATATAATTAATTAACAAGTATAATTAATCTTTTTTGAGTCTTGGGAGTGAGATTTCCTTCTCTCTAGCCCACTGTTTACACCTCCTTTTTAGGCATAATGCCATATCACCCAAGCACTCCTGTGAAGGAGTGGGGCTGTATGTGTCAGAGAGGGCTCAGCCTCAGGAGCGAGAGAATCAGGCTGCTGTGAGTTTACTCCAGTCACAGCCAGTTAGTTGCTGTTAAATAAATCTCGAATTATAGAGACAATGAGGAATTCTGTGGGAGAGAAAAACTCTTTCAGCTGTGCCTCAATTCCTGCAGAGAGCAGGATTTAATGCTTTCAATGGGAAGGTCACCAACTATATTTCCCTAAGTGCATATCAGCTGGTTTGGAAGATAGCACTTCACTAACTGTTAGTGATTGTCCTCCTTGCAGGACTAGCTATTATATAGAGCTCAGCTTGTTCTTCAGTTTGATCTAATTAGTTCCTGTTCATTCTATGTCCTGCTCACCAGTGTGTTAACTTACAGCACTGATTCATTAAAGTCATAATTGGTCATCATATTTATTTAACTACTAAGTTATTTTCCATAGTAAGTGAATAGACTTAGCTAGTATTGGCAGAAAATTTGTTAATCTAATTAAAAGTGACACATATTTGAGGCTTACAGTAGGAATGTGTAATGTGCTAAGGAGTAAGGTCTTCTAAAGCATGCTATTAACCTTGATCACACTCATTACTACAGTGTAACTTCCTTTTTATCAAATGAAAGTATCAAACATACCCACAGTTCAGAGTTACTAGTCCAGGCAAACTACAACTAACTTCTTTTAACATAGCTAAGAAAAACTTTTAATATTTGATGTCAATACTGCCCATAGGCTGCTTATTTCTTTGTTTAATGTATAACAACAGCATTTTCCTTCTTGTTTCTCTTGGAGTGCTGGATTTTACTGTCACTGAAAACGAGCACTGGGATTTGCTATAGAAATGAGAAATTCCCTTTCTTATAGCTCATGTGGCTGTGGTTAGGACTGTGCAGGATGGGATATCTGGGATCTCTCCCCTGCCTCAGTGAGCATTTTATACGCATCACCCTCAAGCATTTCATGCAGAGTATGAGAGTTTCAGCAGAGACTACTGAGAAAGAGTTGTCATTGTGTTCCCTGTAACCCCTCTAGCCTGGGGGTTAGAACAGCCTCTGATGTGGGTAAAGGCTCTTTGTCAGGATTTAGCTAGTAGGGAAAATAGGTAACTTTCTGCTGACAGAATCAAAGTTGCAAATAACCCAGTCCTCTCTCTTATCTCACTAGGAGCTCTGTATGCAATATCTCATGATGAATTGTTAATAAATGACAGGACTGTGTTTGAGGTTTAGCTGGAAGAAGGATGGGACAGTATTTGACTTGCCTGATGTGTTTTGAATCTATAATGTTTAATATATAGCAGAATTTTAATTTTCATGCTGTGGGGACCAAACACATATATAACAGTAATGATAAAGAATCTAATATAAAACTCATTGGGAGTCTAGGAAACATTTTCAGCAACTGACGGAGAATTTGGACCTGTTCAAAATTAATCTGTTTGATTAAGTAAAGTAAACCATGTTCTGAAGAAATCAGAGGTGCATAAAGTGCTGGGTAGTAGCCAGGGAAGCCTTAGCAGAATTCCTCAGAGAATTCATATCTTTTCAAGTTGAAATGAAGTCTAAAGTTTTAGAGAACCAAAGAGTTATTTTTCATACATGGCAAGATTTTGGTTCTAGAGAAAAAAGATGGAGTAAATTGACAAATGTTCTGTAGAATCCCAACAAAACAAAAGAGAAATAAAAAGAAATGGTTTGAGAACCAGAGGCAGGAGAGATGTAAAAAGCATCTGAATCATGGAGGAAAGCCTGATGAGTGATTTAATGATAACAGTGAAATTCAAACTAGTGATGGGTTGCTTGTTATTTTTAACACAACTGTGATAACTTGTTGCTTTTGAATCATACAGTTTAGAGGTGTAAAACTTCAGATGCACTGAGCTAGTTGAAAAAACACATGAAAGCAATTTTTATTGTTTTAGACCAAAACAAAATGAAACCATAGCATTAAAATGTGATATTTCTATTTTGGTTTTTTAATTTGTTTTATAGTGAAATGTTGTCTTTTAGGGAAGAGGAGAAAATGGAGTAATGTTCTTTTCCAGTAAAGTTTTGTTCTTTATCCAGATATGGGCATCTGCTGCTAATCTATACTTTATTAAGCTGAAAGATTCATTAACTGCCTCTGTTTTTGGAGCAGTTCCTGAAACATTACACTTGAACAGTTCAACATGTTTTCAAATTTGGTGAGTTAAGCCTAGAACTTCCAATTACAGAGCAGCTTCATAAATCAAGAGGTTGCATCACAATCATAGATGTCTTTAACTTTTAGCTTGTTTCCAAGATAGCAAAAAAAGACCTTAAAACATCTGAGCTTCAAACACGTGAACTCAGAAGATATTTGGAATACCTGTCCCAAAACAGGTTTAAGACAATTTCATGATTTTTTTAGCTGTATGTATGTTCTTGGAATATTGGGATTGTTTAATGTGTGCAAGTGGAAGAAAAATTACAGCATGTTTTCTGTTTGCCCGGAAGCTCCATTCTTGCAGTTGAATTTTATATATACACATGCACACTTATTACTGATTTACTACATGTATACACAGAGTAGATGCATATATCATTAGATAAATTTATTATTATCAGAGTTCCTTGATATCTTTATCTATAATTTTTTTCCAAGAAAAATTTAACACTGAATGTAAAATTTAAGAATAATGACAGTGAATATGATTTATAGCTAAATTTTTCAGTTCTCATAGAAAGAGTCCGTGGACCTACAGATGCTTGATAGCCCAGGTTGAAAACCAGAGGTTTAAATGTAAATTTTTGTGGTTACATAACATGAACAGCAGGTGGCAGTAGGAGGACGTTGGAAACATTTCCATTCGTACGCTATTCTGCTTTTGATTCCGTATGCTGGGAAAGCGGAGGCCGATAAAACTGCTTTGTTTCAGTTGTCTAAAAATGTTGATTAACAGGATTATATATACCAGCCAGTGAGGCATGATCTTCTATTGAGGAAGGCTCAGGATTTCATGGATAGTAGATTTTGAGAAGTGTTGAATTAGAAATTGTCTCAGCTGTCTGTTCAAACTTGAAGATGCAAAAACAAAATTTGTAATGCATTAGCAGCTGTGTTAGTATTAGTGAGAGACTGCAGCCCTTGTTAGCCACAGTGAAACAAATGAAACAGCAGTAGCATGTCTGCCCTGTTCATGGGAGTACTGTGAAGAGATGCCTGATCTGGCACTGTCTGGGCTGCACAAAGTAAATGACACAGGCTGTACGTGGGTCGCTCTGAAAGTAATGCCTCCTATTTATTTCCATTGAAACTACAACAAATATAAAGAGCACAGTAACACTACTCGATAGAGCAAATTATCAGCTACAAAACAGTATTTTTTCAATAGTCACTGCCATCAGCCAGTTTGCATAGATGAGCTGATCAGGAGACACTGTTCATTTTATGGTATGACATCTGTGCATGGTCATCCAGAATGTGGTTTGTCTTTCCCACTGCTGTTGCTACTGCTGAAACGCATCACCCACCACCTCGCTGTGCTCACATCCACTGTTTGGTGTCCAGAAATGTTCAGCAAGCATCCATGAATGTCAATGAATTCAATTTTTTCCACATGAAGAAATTAAATTCCATTCTTTTGTTTCATCCATGCTTCCATCATTTTGTCAGATTGCTGCTCTGTTGCACAGTGATAAAATGTAATGGAATATTGGTGGGAAGATTCAACCTCTACTGCAATTTCACCAGCATCCATCTGAGATGTTGTGAGCCAAGATAATAAAATAGAAGGTGTTATTTTTGGAGCAGCCCTCACACAATGGCATCTGATCAGTTGTGGAAGCAGCACATGTTAGTCTGCAAGGACTAATGTCACTAAAACAATTCTGCAGGTTGGCTTCATCTCACAGGGTTCTGCTGCATAGCATGCATGAAATTTGTTGTGTCTTGCGCTAGGGGGCACCTGGTAACTCTAGCAGCTATCTGAAATAATTAGATTCATCTTCAGTCAACAAGATGCTGTCAGTGAAAGTTTGAAAAACACAAAGTGATACTTGCTAAGTTATTCTCAACATCCAGTTGAAAAACATTTTCTCATTCACTGCTGTTCTTTTCATTTCATCTTGCAAGAGATACTCTCTGCTTGTGTTAAAGAAACGCAGAAGAGGTTGACAACCTCATTTAATTTTTGCTACAGATGAAACAACTCCACTCCCCCAGTTTCCGATTTTAATCCAAAAGTGAAAAAATGTGGTGTTTTTCTGTGCATCAGAATGCATTGTGGCTGCAGATTTTAATCTGTAGATTAAAAACTAGCCTAACATTGTATTCAATGTTGAAAAAGTAATCAGATAACTCCAAAGATCTAAGAGATTATTATGACAATGAATTAATACAATATTTTTGACAGATGTAGTCATACACTGGTATATGTCTGAATGCATAGAAATAAATGTACTAGTATACGCCTTGATGTGCAGAGTACTGATGTATTAATAGCAAATGTGGAAAGGTCTGCAAAGTGTTCATATGAAACTAGTAGCAATGCATAATTGGCAACATCTTTTCAAAGGAGACATCTGGACACAGTAGAAAGTTACCTTGACTCTAAAGCAGCATTTAAGATCTCTGTTTTGCGTAACAGATGGCAGACAGAAAGCTGTGTGTGTAAGCCTGAATTGCAATGCCTAGTAACCCATTTTGTTACATTTGGAAGACCTTGATAGAGGTCTGAAAGCTCATTTGATGGCAGCTAAATGAGATGATATATTCACTAAGGTTTAC